TTAGTGTTACCTGGTTGATACCCATGATATTTGGGATTTCTGAAATGCTGCTTGTAAAATTTGGTAGTGAGCGCTTTCATTCTCTTGATTTAGATGATATCTTTTATATTATAGTATGGACACAACAGTCGATGAATTATTTAAGTTCTGCTGTATGCTGTGTGATTGTAGTTCTTTGTATTATCACAATAAAAAGACTGCGTACCCCTCGACCCATTGACAGCCATGTTAGTGAAGAACAGCGAAACATTCGGGTAACCCGAACTCGAGCAGCCGTGCGAATGCTCCTTGCTTCTGTGCTGCTGTATTTTTGCTGCTTTATCTGGACATTTTTGCTTAACTCAACCGGGAGTGGATCATCTGTTGTTTTTTTTAGACTACCTGGCATAACATATGATAAGGAAATGTGTTCACATTCGACAATGGACTTTTTTGTCTTTATCGTATTGAATTTTCTACCTGTTGTCAATTCTTTCTTTAGTCCGTGGATCTATATTATTTTTCTTCCTGATTTTCTGGCAGCCGCAAAGAAAGTATGGTTCCTAAAGGAGACTGTGAACCAGACACCAAACACAATGCCTTCTTTCGATCACTGAGCTGCAGTCAAAGCAAAACTCTTCAATTGAGACAAGAAGCAGACCAAATACTGATGAAGATTTAGAGCGCTTTTCATTTAGACAGAAGACAGGACCGACGACAGACTGGTCTACTCATGACTTTAGTGGCAATTTCTCAGTATTTTTAAAAGTTCTTATGAAAAATGCTATTGTATATGAATTATATTCTTCTGGCGTCACAGGAACGATTAATAAATGTAATTTTCTTTGGATCTGTTCCCTCGGTTCTGGAAAATGGAAAGCGGCTTAAAAATAGCTTGGAAGAAACTCGTTGCATGATATCCTATAATTTAGGCAATCAAACTTTAAACTATGTGTTCAAGAATGCAAGTTTTAGGCACGCTTGCTGCGGGGTCTCAACCACTTTTCAAAAGCCGTTGTTATCGCGTTGTATGTGCAAGGACAACAAAATAAAATAAGCATAACAAACAAAAATGTCAAGTCGGATCCGTTGCAGTCTTAGAGATACAAAGTGCAAAATGGACAAAAAGCACGGAAATGGAAAAATGAGCTTCTGCACCATTTGATGCTATGTGTGTTGAAGATGGTTTGTCACCGTGTGTGTGAGGTTCGCCGACAGTGGGGGGTGTAGATGGAAGAGTATTAGTAGGAACAGGGACAACAAAAATTGATTGCAATTAACGTTAATTGAAGCCTATATAGGAAATGTAATTCTAACGGTTAAAATAGAATATAAAAGTGTTTGTAAAATAACTTCACATAATAAAGGATGACTTATTAAAAGAGTAGCCAGGTCTACTTTTTAAAAGTTGGCAACATCAGTGTACTTTCAATTGGTGGGATTTCGTGGACATTCCTTTTTTTTATTTCATTATAAGGTACATCTTGTACGAATAAATCTAAAAGTTCACACTGACAAAATGACAACTAAGGTGCCTCCAGCTGGTGGCAAATGAAATTGGATTCGGCCTATCAAACGAACCAAAGTTAATAAAAAGTGCTAGCAATACCTACATGCAATAAGCGGTCAATTTTTTTATAACTGAGAAAATCATCCCCAATAAAAGCAAAAACTAATGCTGACATTGCGTTTTTGTAGACTATTCAGTTAATAAATTTCTTTACAAAACTTCTTCTGGCTGTTTCGCATAGACTATCCTTAATTACATTAGTTGTGATCAGTATTGAAAGATTCAGAGCAACAAGATGAACTGTACAGTATTCCATATTGCATTTTGACTCGTCAGAAGTGCCTTCTTGAATCTAGGAAAGGGCAATCGCATGACAGTAACATGTCATCGAATCATTTTACAGTCAACACGATCGTCTCATGTGGGTAGCCAATTCCCGTTCGAATTTTTAAATAACGAAATGATAAATATGGAAGTGCCGTGGTGCAACGTGATTAAATTGACATCTTCCAAAAGAGAAAAAGTTTATTAAATTTCACATAATTAATTAATTACATATTTTGATTAACTGCAATTAAGACTACGTGCAGTCGGTCGCCTATAGAAAAATTACCAACAATCAGAAGTACAGAACACAATAATTACACAACATACATAAAAAAAGTTTAGTATTAGAAAAATAATTGAATATTTTTAGTTCGCTATTTTTTTATTTTGGGCACTGACAACTATGAAGGTTCTCAACCATTCTTGAAGATGTACAGCTTTTAGCAAGTCATTGTAAGTTTAACTAACACTGTGTTAGAACATCTCGATTCACGTATTGTAGAGGCATATGTTTGTGATTTTATAAACTAACAGTACGCATTCTTTGCATGCAACTCAATACACCACTRTTTGAMGACCRTTACCTTMCATAAAATAGATATATTCCTTTGACATAAAATTTTGATTTTGGCACAGACCTGCCGGCTATATATGATCGTTTGGATTATACTGAGCAATAAAAACGTTGTTTTTTTATCTTGTTTTAAATAACTATGCATAACTTTCTTTAGTCAATAAATAATCTTTTTATGGGACTATCACAAATTAGGCAAATTTTAAAAAATGTTACGCATGTGTGGGTACTACATGTAGTTGGAATTACTTTGACATCATCGAGTACATCCATTCGAGTACACATATTCGAGTTATTCAATTTCGAGTAGATTCAATCCGAGTAACTCTGGCAGTCATAATTACAATCCCATCTCCTTCCTCTTGGCGTCTTCCATTTTTTCCATTTCATCCTGGATTCTAATGCATTTCTTGTCAAGTACGTCGTTAGTTTTTGATATGTAATCGCCCAAAAGCTCGCGGCACTCCATCTCACCATTGGCTATTTTGTTACACGTGTTCATTAGGTCATAGCAAATCAGGTCTGAGACAACCGAGTCCTGCTTGTAGTCTGGATGCTTGTGGACAAATTCACGCATCCAACGAGCTGTAGTCATCAGTTCACCTAAAAAGGGATTAAAAATGTTTGATTAAAAGCTGTTCGCAAACATCGGTCTTTCATTGGTGGAAAAGGAGGGAGACTATAATCGGAGCGTATTTCTCGAGGCATGATACTCGGACTTAGACTGTGCTTTATTATTCTGAAAAGACCTGGGGACAATAAAAGCATTCCCAGAGGGCATTGGGGACCTCGAAGAAGGAAAACAATGGCGGATCGAGTTGAGGTATATATAAATTTTGTATTTTTTCCTCTTGGACATACCCAACACAAGATATGGCTCTCAAACTTCGTGAATCCGTATAACTGCAATCTATTCATGCTTCGGGTACCTATTTAAAGGGATTTTTTGGAGGTTTTTGGAGCAGAATTGACGAATGTTGACATTAACTTGGACGTATCGATGTGCGACCCGACTGTTTATCAACTATTTGAACTCTTTTTTTCGACTTCAAATCACAAAGGTAAGCAGAATTTGTAAGGAATGTATGCAAATTTGGTCGCTGAGTATGTACAAGATTAAACGCATTTACTTAAAATAATTATGTAAAAGACATGCGATATATCCACGAAGAGTGATCGAACTGCAAACCTTTCTCTTAAAATAATATTTTGTCGAAGATGTGTTATCTCCCATGAAGTACGCTGCACAGCCCACTTGCAGAAAAGATGCAGAGTTTTCCCTGAGCTGTGCACGTGTTCGGCGCGCCCTTGGGGGATGTCGACAGTTGTACAATTTTCTGCACTTCCCTTAGTAGTCGGGAGTTTTTGAAGTGATTCCATGGAAACTGTCGTCCAATCAGAGGGAGTTTTGCAAGACGGTCAAAGTCCGTGTCCAACTCGCTCGATGAAGGGTTGACCGGATGCAAAAATTGAGTCCGAATAGCGTACAAACATGACGATTTGGCACGGTTGGATTTATAAACCGTTGAAAGTTTGCCCAATTCTGGATAGAAGGATCCTAGAGACATGCCGCTGAGGGTATTTTGGAGGCAAAAGATGGATTTAAGATATTTTTTTCGGTTATTAAAGACGAGTGGTGTGGACGCTCTGTAACCAGCCTTGTAGTCTTTTACTACTGAGGGTGATATTTTTTATAAAATAGGYCTAAWTCCMTTCAAAACCACACACAGCAATGTTAAATAACATCAAGAACACATGATATCAAGGTAAGATGATTTTATTAAAAAAAAATTTGTATGCTCTGCTTGGGTTGCCTGTGATTTCTGCTAATGTCTTTTGCGCGCTAGATATTCACTTGTCATTAAAGTTCGCGCGTGCAAATTTTGTTTTATTCACTGAGGGAGGTCGTCGTCTTAACCGAAACGTCTGAATCGTTTTAACATAAAGCTAGTGTCAAAAATGGCATTTGTCAATAAATCATGTCTACAGTTCTGCACTTTCTCATTCCCCCTTTCAACCTTGGCTTTTATGTTCTATTATCTTGCACACACCACGATTGCTCAATAGCCAACTTTCAAAATCTTTGTTGACTGACAAAGCACAAAAGATTTAAAGAGGGTGCCCTCGGGCGAATAATAGAAGATTCTTTTGCTACCCGGGAGACTTCTCTTGATGGGGAGTTTTCGAGATAATGGAACAAAAATATGATATAGCAGTTCTAAGTATTCACAAAACTATGGTCCACAAATCTAGCATTCTCATTGGCTACTGAACTATGGCATATTTATTTAATACTGCATGGTCGCATCGAAAGCCCCCCCCCCCCCCCCCAAAAAAAAAAAAAAAAAAAAAAAACCTGTTAAAAATACTTTGAGAAGATTGGAAATTGTTCTTTATGATCCTTTTTCCATATTTGCCCTACAGTTTGGTGGCGTATTGCATTAAAGTATCTTACCTGAGGCTCGCTTTTGGATTAGTTTAAGATATTGGGAGATAGTACAACGAGTGTCAATGTCGACATCAACGTTACTGAGATAGCTGTTCATCAAAGGAATCAGACCTGGGAATTCACCATCCTAAACAAAGGAGAAAACGCGCAGTCAACCATTAACGTTTTTTACTTGTTGTTGCCTTTATGTCTTTACAACCGAACAGCGTTTATGTGATTTACTGTGTATAAATATTTTATCGGTAAATAGCTAGGAGAGTAAATGTTTGTGCTCAAAGCCTTTTGAAGAAAAAATGAACGTCATTAAAATTGAATCATCCATGAGGGTTTTTTCTTCTTCTTTGTTTTTTTGAAAGATCATAAGTTCGTTTCATGATGAAAAAAGAAGTACATAACTTAAACTAAAGATACATGTCGTAGAGGGCTTTCAGTAGATTGCTTTTTGTAAAAGCGTGTAAAACTAGAAATACTATTTTGTATTATTTTATGGTTTTCTTTTCTTTTGTTAAACTGGCACTATTTTGTATAATTTAGTAATCGGAGTGTGCAAAACAGTGCTAGTTGTAGTTCAACAAACGAAAACAAAGGAATTAGCATAAAATAGTACAAAATAATATTACTAAAGTTTCACGCTTTTACTAGAGCGGATTTCGTATGAGTGGGACACCGTTACCGCACGGTTACCGCACAGTTACCGGACCTGGCCTGCAAAACTTTGGTGAACCAATGGGGCACTAGAATTTGGTTACAGTACGATTACGGTCACAATACAGTACCGTCCGTTTCCCACTCATACGAAATCCGCTCTAAAAGCACCATTATGTGTTGTGTCGCTTAAAAAGATGATTCAAACAAACAAAAGTCGTTATTGGAAGAAAGGTCACTACACTGTGGCTAGTATAGATACCTTGCCATTAATGATTGTATCAATACTCATRAGAACCACTTCATCACAAGAACTTTCAGACTCACAGCACTCTGAATGGGCGCATTGGGGCTGACCTATAGAAACAAATCCATATGAAATAATGTGTTTATAATATTGTGGTTCCGGCCGACAGATGCACACTGAAAAATCGCACATTGGGAACTCTGTGAATTTGCTGTAATTACGATAATTAAATAACTGGAAWTTTGGAAACTTTCTGATATTTCCGTGGGTTTTTACAGAGTATTTTAATGTATGTAAATTYGATTTACAGAGAATTCATATCGTATTTCCAGGAAATTTCCAGGGTTTTCACAGTCTCGGTTTTTGTTTGTTCTTGTTAGTGATGGTTACATTCAATTAGCCTCCTCCGCAGGTATCACAAAGAATCACGAGCTTCCCGTCTTTTTTGGGAGTCATAACAGGGAGAATGCGGCCAAGATGACCGTTACAAAGGAAGCCCAAAGGAGGAAAAAAAGAGTTGCCTGGGGAGGAGGCTAACATTCAATATGATCAACTAATATGTGATATGTGATGTTACGCCTACTATAGGGCCGAATATACTGTACAGTAATAAAATAGCAGTTTAATTGTTCTTACAGTTTTTCAATGTTTTCCTGAAGTAGAACTTATCCTTTCGCGCRGCATCTCGCTTTTGTGCAGCTTGCATATTGGCATCAACCTGCACATTTATATATAAGATAATTATTAGATAAGTAAAATGAAAAGCGGAAATACAACCTGGAACTTGAAAACTATTTTAWTTGAGTGGTTCGGTCATTTGACCCTCAAGAAACTGAATGTTTCGCACGCACCTCTTCTCTTTAGATTAATAGATATTTAAATTAGTATTCAAGAGAGAAGCTTTTGTCTACTTTGTACTCAAATTGATCGTTTTCAACCAGTCTATGAGATTCAAAATGTAAAAGACTGGCGGCCATGATGGAGGAATGAACAATATACAGCTATTTCAAAAGACGTTGTCGGGGAGAACGGCGAACGGCGATTGTCGAAGGRAGATTGCACGACCGAAAGGGGCTATGGTTATACTGTTTTGATAAASAAAATTTCACTTATTGGATTCACCTTTACATAGAAATGGAGAATAAACGGAATAAATGGAGCCAATGTTTACCACAGGTCATCTTACAGTACAAATCAGTTGTTATTGGCTTTCAATTAGCAAAACACATGGCTACTTTCGGTAGTGCAATAGCCGTTCGACCATTGACATTCGCCATGTTATCCGACAACCTTTTTTGGAATAGCTATATACTAATGGGAAGTTCTTTGTCGAGGTTCCTTCACGGTGTCCGCTGTGACGTATAGTGAGAACAAATAACTATACCTTAGATAATGGGATGAGTAAATTCAAGTCAAAGGACAGGATTACACGCGACAACAACACAACAAAAGTGACGAACGCAGCGTTCTCAAAGTCTGTCAATTGGACCTAAACAAAAACCATAAGATAAATGAGTAAACCTTTTTTAATGGAACTGATTTTGTTCCAATGGAGTGTTATTCCAGGGAGTGTTATTCCAGGGAGTGTTATTCCAGGGAGTGTTATTCCAGGGCAAAACCACGTGTCAGACCCTTCAAGAGAGTAAATGGGTTGAACCCAGGTGTAAGCGATGTAAGTGTGATATGACCGTCCAGGTGGGGGGCCATACGTTTAGTTGCTTCAAATAGACTTCTGAACCTTTTACGTCACTACTTGATTTTCAATGCATTGTGGGATCAGTTTCAAGAGAAAACAAAAGAAATCCGCCATGTTTTGTCCCAAACATGTCCTACAATGCATTGCGTATACGGTACCTGACGTCAAAGCTGCAGAGGTCTATAGACGTCAACTGATCAAAGCACGGACAACGACAATTGACAATCGACAATCAACGACGATCACCGCCGACTTAAGAATTAGATGAACGCTCACAACATCTACATAACACCACTCAAAACAATGATGAACGCCCACGARCTTCCGACAGTAATGAAACTCTTACATATTTCCGAGTTCAAATCGCATTTTCTGAGAATTGTGCATCAAGAGGCATTTATAGGCCATCAAGTATCTATGCTTTGAGGAGACGAGACTTCTTGAAATCATATTTTTATGGTAAGAGTATCATCAACTCACCTCAGTTGGTCTGAACTCAACTCTCCATCCAATGGAAGAGTTTGGAGGGGGTGGCTTGAATCGCATCGTTTGCCAATTAGTTGACTGTATATTCTATAAAAATGACAAGTAGGTTAAGCATGCATTTACTGGTACAAGAAACCTATAAGGGACTTGAAACGTGTAGTTCCCGTACATTTCTTTAGTACCCAGAGTTAGGATATTCAAAGCTCATTAAAAAAATTCGAAAACGAACGTTATGACCATATTTGGAAAATTCGGCTGTTGGATAAGAGATTTAAGGCCCGTTCTGGTTGGCTAGGGTAAATTGAATTGTTCCATGAATGGGATGCAAATTAGATTTGAATGTTCAGGAGGAGCCGACGGGGTCTGTTCTTTTCCTGTAAGAAATTCTTAGAAAGTATTCCTTGTCTGGAGAGTTTTTTTCCTGAATTTCTCGCTGGCAACCACTTGCGACTTACAGGTGGCTGGGACATAAGAACAGATATATTTCTCCAAGGAACCGGTCGGCTCCTTCTAAATGTTCCAACGGATGGCCCGGAGTTACACTTTTCAAGTCCCTTATAGGTTTCTGCTGGTACCCATTGTACTTATCAGGAGGATAAAACTTATACAAAATCTGGATAGCTTCATTCACGATCCGCACAGCAGGACCTTGTAAACTACAATCTATGATCATACCTAATGTACACTCTTTAAAAGGCATTCCGATTACGATATTATATAAAATGGTTTTAATTTTTTTTTATCGATACTGCAATAAATATTGATTTTACCTCAAARTGGTTGGAATTTTGCGTATCATCTTCATGGATGTGTTCTTCAAACAGTGTTAGGGGATCTCGGATGAACAGATGCGCATAATGACGGGCTAGGATGTCATCGATACCTTCAATAAAAATCAACACAATCAACCTAATCTCTTAGAAAAATTCAGAACTGAACTAAACTATCACAATAAAACCCAGTGCTAAAAATTATTTTCAATTCTAGTTTTAATAGCATTGCAGAAAGTTTCTGATCAGACTAACGAGTTCGCGCAAGTGGAAAAAGTTACAAAATCTTATATGGAATTATCCGAAGAAGTTTATTTTCTGTGATTATTATATGCTCTTGGAATAAGCATTGAAATTTGTTAATGTACTGAACGCTGTTTAAAAATATACACTGAGATTATAGGTCACTTGCAGCCAATAAACTCATGTCCATAATTCCGAGTAAAACAAATACAACCATAGCTGAAAAAAACTAAGAAAAATTTCACCTTCATTTGAAGTCACAAACAATTATAATCACAACACAGGAGGTCCAGATAGTTTAAAACACGTTCGTATTTCAGTGTATAAAATCTTTGTACAATTATACTGCTTCCATGCCATTCCTCAAATTCTTGAAGTTGATTTTAAGTAACAAATAAAATATGAGCGGGAGACCTTTATGTGCTTTTAAAACTGTGAGCTGCAAGCGGGCAGTTTAATAGCCCATTAAGGTCGGACGCGAATATTTTATACCGTATTGCTCATCAAATTCCAACATAAGATAAAGCATATTTCAAAAAAMAACTTCAGGATAACATATCACTTGCAAGAGAAAATCAAAGTTAAAGTCGTATGCAAATCAGGACAAATCTCTTGCTCATATAAAGATGGAAAACAAAACGGGAAATTTAAAAGGTGGCCGTTTATGGGAGATGGTCGCTTACGAGAGTGGTCGTTCAAAGAGAGTTAACTGTAGTTCAGTATAATTCAGTATCTCATCTTGTGTCTACTTCTTCCATTCTACCATCTTATACAAGGTGGATATCCTATAATTTCTTTATACTAATTCAAGACAGCAGCCTTAATAGTTATATGAAATATATTTCCCAGTTTCTCCCAATAGGTTAAATAGTATCGAAACAATACGCCATATAGTCAGTACGCTAAGGAAAATCTAAATCGAAAATATATAGCTGATAAAAGTTGCACTTACCGCTGTCGACAAGCTTTTTATGGATTTCTTGATCAAGGACYAAATCAATGTCGTTGAACTTCTTTCCTTTTGCCGACAAGTAACAACTGATAGAATCGTAACGAGACTTGGGGATTACAAACCTATTTTCTTTCAATGGCTACAAGGAGGAAAGAAAGTATCACTTGCWATTTGCACGGACAATCTGTAAATAATYTAACTTTAATTGTTATTAAATTATCGTTTTTTAATAGTGTTCTTACTTCAAGTCCATATTCTTCTGGATTGCGATCGTCAACTGAGCCTGCGATCACACTCCATCTACAGTCAACGTCTCCAAGGTAACCACGGAAGATAGGAGTACCAGCTGATAGTGCCATCTGAAATTTTGATTCATTCATTCTGTTATTCAGTGAGTTTTGCTTTATTATTTGACAAATGGATTCTCGGTAATAACGATRCTATATAWAATTTTCTCTAAAAAATATTCCCGACTTTCAAAAATGGCGCGATATGTCACGATTGCCGACCAGGGCACTGGGGACGAAGCACTAAAATGAGGTCTAAAATGCCAGCCTCCGTATATATTAGGTAAACTTTGATGGTGTGTTGTACCAATACATCTTTCAAACTTTTAAACACTGCCCACATGCGACCATCGTAGTACTTTTTAGATKTAAGGCAATTGAGGCCATTGAGGTTATTGTATGATTTGTTAATAGTCTCCCGATATTGGCGGTAGTGAACTATCACCATTTTTGAAAGTTGTGTATAACCATTTGAAAAAAAAAAACTATGCTGGATTTAACAAGGATTGCACGACCGAACCCTCTACTTGACACTGAATTTTTGATGTTGGGAGAGACACTCGAAAAAGTTTTAAAGCTTTAAAACTTTTCTTGTGTCTCTCCCAACATCACGCKTGCTCACCGGTAGAGTCACGGAAAAAWTCTTCTATTACTTAAATACCAGAAAGTTCTGAAAATTGTTTAATATATACACGAAAATAATATCTAAATTATTACATCATAGAAGCTAGGGYCGAAAAGAGGCATGGGAAATCAAATATGACCAAAATCGTCTTTGGTCTTAGCTTCGACGATGTCACCTWTTTGAACCTAACGACGTACAACTGCGTACTCAGATTGATCTTTAGAATGAAAACGAACTAATATCAATTTTCAGCAGAGTATAGAAAATCCTCTTTAATCTTATTCAGTTTCGACGCGTCACCTTTTTGAACCTGACAACATCTTTTTAATCAGGAAYAGATATAGAAATGAGAGAAAGTTATAGTGCTAAGAAGGAGGCTATTCCGGGAGAAAGACCCTTAGGAATAAATTCGGAAAAATTAATTTCCGACCTCGCTGGGATTCGAACCCACGACCTTCGGATTTGTGCTACCGATGCTCTACCAGCTGAGCTACAAGGCCAGACTGGGAGCAGGTCGGGGTGAAATAGATGTTGGGTTGCGGTAATAGAATAATAATTGCACTATAACTTTCTTTCATTTCTATATCTGTTCAATCATAGTGCCATGCGGTCCTCATATTCATATTTTTAATCAGGAGTTTACTCGGACTGGTCTTCAGAATGAAAGCCAACAAACAGACCTTTGTTGAAAATATGTTGCATTGTTGTCTAGCTTCAGAACCAACAACGCCATATTTGGCTGAATAAACAAAAGACGTTTGTACTGCATTTAGGCAGTACAAATGCAATGCAATGCAATAGGAAAGGTATTTCAGAAAAGGTCTATGTTATTGCGCAGTATTCARCGTTCTTGAAACAACCATACGTATACTTACGACAATTGGTGTAACAACAGCTAACTGATCGTACAAATGGCGTCCTTCGTCGATACTACATGCTTGGAAAGTCATCTACAATAACAAGACAGCAATGAATTCAATTAAAGTCAWTCACCTTTCGCATGTGACAGATAGATTCTAACTGATGTATTATTCATTACATAGATATTATGATAGCATTGAGTAACTAAACTAACCTGTAGACAGGAGCATCCCATACCAAAACCCATTGCATCTAAGTAAATATGGTCTGGTTTGGCTGCTCTTCCTCCTTCACCTTCGACTTCCGGGAATTTCTCAATGAATGGTGAAGGTGTGTTGACATCTTTGAAAACTGTCATTGCAGAGAAAAAAATATCAATGATTCATAAACATACAGCTATATGACGCTTTATGAAATAATAGAAACGTTTTTAATGATGAACAAAGTTGTTTTTAACAGACTAGTCCCCAGGAGTTCCTCCATTTTTACATGACGTCAGGGCCACTTATTCCTGAGTAGAAAGCCTGGGGACTAKGCTGGGTCTTTATGTTGTTTTTAGAACAACTTCCATTACTTATTTTCTAGCCAGGTCTCAGTATTCTCTAGTGCATACTTTCGAAAAATTCGCGATACTTTTTTGCGCGACAAAAGTTGCACGAAACGTCCATTTAGAACAGTTATAATTCTATGTCACTCTAATATAATAAAAATAAGTCGAGTCTCAGTTACATACTTGGTACGTTTATGGCAACTTTAGAACCTCTTCGTTCTCTGATATTTCTTGATAATGTCCTACAGATTGATACCATAATTACACATTAACTTATAAACATATGGTTAATTATAAGGATGCTACAGCGAAAACCCAATTCTAAGCCAAACCAAAAATCCTAAAGAACTTCAAAAGGCTGGGCAAGGTCGCGATGCTAGGGTTTCCGCTGTAAAAATAGCAACAACGAMAATAAGGTGGCGTACGTGCTTATCGTCCTTCATGGCAGCACGGGTGCTGAATTGCGAAAGACGCAGCTCGACGCGCTCTCGTGTCGAAGTGGTATATATTACAGACACATTTTACATACACTTACACATAGGCGTGCTGCCAGCTAGGCGCTTCCTTTACATAGCAACGTCGACTGACTGAGGGAGGAAACAACGGAAAAGACCCGGAAAACCCTCGAA